ATTTGCCAGTATTTTCGTAGTTTGAACTCACATATGGCTCATTTGTTATCTCGTGAGAACTAGTATGAACTTTCCACATTTGGCTAGCTTCCAAGCAATGAAGTTCGTGGACCGGCCCATTCCGAAAACACTCGACATCATTTAGCGTGGGCCTACCACGAACGGCGTGTGCGTTTGCATGTAGGATCGATGAGATTATAAGACAGGAAACTTTGTGAGGTGGTCTTCACAAAACACAGCATTCTGTAAATTACGTTGTTTACGAAGAGAGAGCTTACAAAAAAACAAGTTGTCGCACTCTCATCCCCAGTTTCCACGGTTTACGCAAGGAACCATGTCCCACTTCTGGCGACCAAATTAAAACTGACCGCTTGAATTATCAGACTCGGGCTTTCCCACGCAAGTCCGAGTAATAAAATCTGGATGAAAATACACAAATGAAGAAAAGACTTAAGCAGTTTCCTCTTTCGATACTAAAGTTAAAGTATTCGTCAAACTGTACGTATCATTACGTGGCATTGAAGATTTCGGTTGACGTTCTAAACGTCATCTGTTTGAAATCAAACTTGCAGTTTAGTGACAGGATGCCTATATTCCAGTTATGCTGGCGACTAATAAATTGGCCAGTTTGCAAGTTTCGTCAATAACTTTCTCCGGTATAAACGGAGATTTTAAAAAGCATTTCATGTCGTACATAGCCTCCAGAACCAGTAAGAACAAACAATCGAGTGTTCTTCGTGTGTACTTTACATAATTCAAATGCAGATCAGTCAAGAAATTCACATACCTCTACTTTCAAATTGATATAATATCAGCAATCAAGTTCGCGTCTGTATGTTTGTGGTTTGAATTAATCCCTCCCTTTTTTGTTCAGTCGGCACGATCGAAGACTTATTCTATCGCCTTCTTTCACTTCGGCAAAATATTTGTAAGGAATTCAAAGATAGCCTGTGTACAACCGCCCCATCCCCTCTAAAAAATCGGGAAGGGCGCAATCGGCCCCCTTCCCGATTTTTTTGAGAGGTGGGCGGCTGTACCCAGGCTATTCAAAGAAATAACTATATTTTTGCAATTTTTTCAGCCACTCTTCCCCTAGTTTCGACACAGACGATCAACGTTGTTGCCATTTCGCCATTTGCCATTTTTTCGCGTTTTTTTCATTGACAGATCCGTCTGTATTTTATTCATAAGGCTCGATGCTGCTAAAATGGCTTTGTTACAATGTGTACGTACATAGAATGGATTTGATGTGTTGAATTTCTGCGGATGTCAAAGCAACTGACACCACGGGTGAAACTCTTCGATCTCAACATTCACTTGTCATCCCAATTAGATTGAAATATAACCTCTCTCCAATTAATTTTATTCAACGAACAATCAGTGCGAAAAAATTTGTAAACGTATCAAAACGTTAGAGCAATTCATAGATTTCTTGACAAATACATTCTCTAATAAAGTTAGTTTTCAGCGATAGACGATTGTGAACATAAATTTATTTACCTTCCTGTCTTAGAAGAGTCAGACTGAATTCTAAGCCACATTTTATTTGTCCATGCATCATGAGCAAGTAATACGTGAAGCGTAGAGAGTAGTACCGATTTGACTGGGCGCAAATTGTTGGGGGCCTAATGGGACCGCGATAGAAACGCAGAGGAAGAAATCGTTGAAAACATGGACTGCATACATTTGTCAGTTTGGCTCCACCGTGTACCGTCTTGTAAACGACACGAAGGTGTCGTTGATATTTTATTGTAAACATAAAAAACCTTTGCTGTCTGGGTTTCTGTTTTCAGAAAAATCCAAATTTGGTGATCTCACCTAGTTTTTTTTGCCGAGGACGGTTAGGAAATGAGCTAAAGAGAACAGGTCCTCAGCAGTTTTTCTGCTCATTAAATTTTTTGTTTCACTAGTTCCTCCGCTGCTTTGCGTTAAATCCCTGCTTTTAATATGGCACACGCTTGCGAGAAGTCACTCGTAAAACGTTGGCTTAAAAAAAGTTCTCGCCTCGATGTTTTGGACCGCCATAACCGCGGTTCGAAGCATCAATGTGACCCTGAAGCGATTGGGAGCTGTAAGGGGATACTTATATGTTCGCCTCGACCGTCTGGATATGAGGAGAGCGCATGGTCGGGGCCTAGGACCGACAACAATCATTTTGGCTCTAGATCCAACAAAACGGCGGCCTTCGTTGAAAGAACAAACTTCCACTAAGATAACCTTCATGGGAAGTGCGACAGTTTCTTAATCTTTTTCGGCCTGGGGAGAAAACAGACCACATTTTTTAATCCAATATACTTATTTCCATAGTCTTGCTTGATTTACACTCGCTAATTTGGACTTCTTCTGTAGACAAAACATTCAGACCTCTTTACGAAGGCTACTCTTAAGAAGCATTTTCACGTGTGTCTCCTTCGTGGTTGCTCTTTGGGGAGCTTTGAGTGACACCCTACACAATGTCACGCAACGAAGCCATCGGGAAATATTGTAGAAATACCGCTGATCCTTTGACTAGATTATTAGAGTTCGGCGCAGCTCTTCAAAACTGTTGTGGAGAAAGCAAAGAACTGCTACTGCTAACGCTGTAATAAGCCCCTTCCTTGGATGTGGTTACCGATTTCTGTGGCTTCCAGAGCTGGAGGAGTTGGCTTCTTACAAAGAGGTATTTCTTGGCGGGGGTGAGTTATATTTCTTCTAGCCGCCCCTTAGGTTTTTGAGGGTCTCAATGAAGGGGGAGGGGGGTGACGTTGACGGTTGACGGTTTAGAATTAGCCCTTTTAACGGTTGACGGTTAAATTTTAAGTTATTTGACGGTTGATGGTTAATTTTTTGGGATGCCGTTTACTGAAACGAAGTAGACGCACGAATTTGGTTGTAATTATGCATAATGACGCGTTTGTAAATAATTGTTAATGACACCTACTATTAATAAATAAAATGATTTACGTTTTACGACACTGGAAGTATTTCCACACTGGAAGTCAGTTCTGTCGCTAACCAGTTTTACTCGCGACTAGAAGTTAAAGGACCTACATAACTGTATTTTTGTGATATATTAGAGCTTTTATTCATAAACAACACAAATTGACCCCAATTGAGGCAATCGTTTAGTTCTTAATTGAGGATATCTGAGACTTTTGAAGGCTGACATCAGCTTGCCTATTTGACGGTAAAAATATTGCGTTTTTGACGGTTGACGGTTAACCCCATTGAGACCCTCGTTTATGACCTTCTATGACTGCACTGTGCAGGGTGTATTTCTATGCTACAAAAAGGAAACGATCTTATATATTTAAAACGGAAACTAATACAGGCTTTTAAGTAAAGTTTTTTTCTTTTTTTTTAAATAGTACAGCTGCTGTACTCGGAATGAATGACAACAATGGGGAGAAGGAGGAGGGGAGGGAAATTATTAGAACCCGTCTGAGCTCCGGACGAGTGCATGGGGTCCTCATCGTGATTTTTAAATCTTCCTAATTAAAATTAGGAAGAGGTAGTTGAAGCATTCTCAACCAGATCTTAGCTATGTCTACTTTATCTTATCTCCCCGAATATTCATCATGGAAAGGTCCCTTTCAGTTTGGGAATAAGAAGTCTGGGCATACATCTATCGTCGAACTCAGCGACCGGGTACGAGACTTTAAAACCGCTTTGTCGGCTTCTACACGTTAAGTCGTCGTTAATTCGGTCAAAAATTTGGATGCATCCAGTTCTGGCAAACATCCAACAAATTTTAATGGAAAATCAATGGAACCGGAAAACTGAAAAACGTGAAAACGAAAAACCACCGAATATAATGATCCTGAAACGAGACGAAACAATCATGTCTTAGAACTAGACAACAAAAATGTAAACGAAAACCGTTTTCGTCTTCTAAAAAAAGAAAAAAAGAGAGAACCCAGTGTTCGAGAAAGTATAATTTTAAACTGAAAAACAGACCCGATGGATGTCAAACCAAATCAACGCAGCCCTACTGAAGTTTTTGGAATGCTGTCGACTCTCTGCCGGCTGTTTGTTTTGGTCACAGAACACATCAAAGGCACCTGAATCACCGCTTATTTCATTTAGACTGTTTACGGATTAGTACAGCTGAAATCATTCCCTTATGATCATAACTGTTAGGAGAGAGTGATGACAACGAGCGCTCTCATAAACCTCTTTTTGGGAGGAGAGGGTATCAATCTCTAGCGCTTCATGACTGTAGGCTCCTGTTTGGTATCACGGTTATTGAAGAGCTTACAAGGCAGGAATTAACTGCAGGGAAGCAGGAAAGGTTCCCGAAAATGAACGAGACACTACACAATTCTTGAAAAGAGGCCAGAGGGATAAAAAAAAAATAAGGTGGGAAAGGGTCACGATAAAAGAGAAAACAAAACTGAGTAAGCAAAAATTGCACTTTAATAAGCCAAACAAAATTTAGGATTGAATCTCTCCCATAGGATGTTAGAACCCGGCTGGTCTAATCTTCATTTCCGCTCTGTTGACGGAGTATAAAAAACCCTTCCAATGATACCAGTTTACACCATCAGCTTTTGAGTGTGTTCCGTTATGATACTGACCATTCAAGTTCGAGTAGTAACAATTTTTATACCACCAAGCTCCTTTATGGCCTACAGCACAGTTATAATTCGATTCTGCGTCATTATCCTGATCTTTGGTTGTGAAGGGGTGACCACGATGATAGGAAAGGGAATCACCAGCTGTACCTGAAATTTGATAAAACTGTAAATATCTTAACAGTCTTAACTGAACTATTAACTTAGGGTCAAATTTAAAGTTTCAGACAATTAAAAGAATAGGTCATTTTCCTTTTCAAAAAAACCATTGAAATCTTGACTTCTCTTGCCCATGACCAACCATAAATTATTTTCTCTTATTTAAAACTGAGGTGAATAATTTTTTAATTATGTTTATCACAAAATGTAAAGTGATTTAAATTAGCAACAGAATCTGCGGATGGCTTAGCTCTAAATAAAGGAAAACACAAAAAAGAGAAAGAGAGAAAAGTTTTGGAGGCAAAAATTGGAAAATTTGTCCTATCTTTGGGTGGGGAAAACAATGCGAGTTCGAGAAAAAATAGGGCTATTAGTGAATTAATCCCACTGCTAAAAACCAATCATATTGCTTTGCTATTTTGCGGATAGGGATTGATAAACTTGTTTTTGCCGTGATTTCGAAATGGATGTAATGGTGTATTGTAAGGAGGAATAACTAATTCTTGCTTGAATTTCGATTGCTTTGGATATTGAAGGCGTCCTAAACATTACTAGTGACCCTACCCGAGTAAGCTCCAAGACTGAGCTGGTACTTAGTCCTCTTACTGGTGACGGCAAAGTAATCGTACAAGGCAAACGCTGTCTTTCCTTTCGTGTCTTGCAGATCCACACGAAGCTTAAACTTCCCACTGTTGGTCAAGCGGTTTATCTTGTCCAGTCCCAGCCAAAACTCTCCATTCAGATTACCAAAACCTTTCTTATAGTAGAACCAGCCACGGAAGAAATCAACAGAACCGTCTTGTCTCTTCTGGAACACTGTCCACCCCCCACCGGCTGTGTTTTGGTCACAGAACACATCAAAGGCGCCTGAGCCATCAGGGTCGATTGTATAAACACCGCTGATTCTTTGACCGGATTTGTACAGCTCAGCACAGTTCTTGTAGGCTGCAAGAATGAAATAAACAAGGGTTGCTATAGATTTATTCAGGCTAGTTAGCAACAACAACAACAACAACAACCTTTATTTATTCTAATTTCTAATGACTAATGACTNGTCAGTCCAGAACACCGGCAATTCAAATTGGACGCCATATTTGCATTCGGTGTATATCTTTTTGCAATAAGAGCAAGTTATGCAATAGATTACATTGGCGGAGGTGCACGTGAAGTGATCGGTGATCTTAATAGATCGTTTGGGTCCCAATATCTTATTAGTGTTGTAAATGAAAGGACACGTTTTGCATCGTGCACGAGCGCATTTAAAATTGCCTGGTTGGTCATCAGTCTGAAAAGAACTTCTGACCAAAAAATTGCCCATGTTTTTGTCGCGGTTAAATGAAATGAGCGGAGGCTGCGAAAAGATAGCGCTTGTCTCTGGATCTTTTTGAAGTAATTTAAAGTTTTTAAGAATGATGGATTTGACTGAGTGGTTGTGAGGGTGGAAGGTGAGAGTGAATGGAATGCGGTCGGAATCATCCTTTTGTAACATTAATAGATGACCTTCCCCGAGTAAGCTCCAAGACTGAGCTGGTACTTAGCCCTCTCACTGGTAACGGCAAAGTAATCGTACAAGGCATACGCTGTATTTCCTTTAGTGTCTTGCAGATCCACACGAAGCTTAAACTTCCCACTGTTGGTCAGACGGTATGTCTTGTCCAGTCCCAGCCAAAACTCTCCATTCAGATTACCAAAACCTTTTTTATAGTAGGACCAGCCACGAAAGAAATCAACAGAACCGTCTTGTCTCTTCTGGAACACTGTCCACCCCCCACCGGCTGTGTTTTGGTCACAGAACACATCAAAGGCGCCTGAGACATCAGGGTCGATTGTATAAACACCGCTGATTCTTCGACCGGATTTGTACAGCTCAGCACAGTTCTTGTAGTCTGCAAGAATGAAATAAACAAGGGTTGCTATAGATTTATTCAGGCTAGTTAGCAACAACAACAACAACAACAACCTTTATTTATTCTAATTTCTAATGACTAATGACTGTTTTAACAAATTGGACATGCCCACAGGTAGCTAGCTAATCTAGGTGGGCCATGTCTTAACTAAAAAAAGTTGGTATGCAAGTTTACAGAAATCAGGAAATTAATTAGAGAGAATAAGTATACAGGTTTACATAAATCAGGAAGTTAAATAAAAATAGTAGGTATAAAAACAAAGATACTACAAAAATACAAAAATGGTACAATTAAGGCTATACTTGTTATTCTAGAAATACATTAATAACCTTATGAAAATTTTACCTTTTGAATGATGTTTCGTATGTCGAGATAGGAGTCTTCTGAAGACAGAATATTGAAAAGTACTCTTTTAATTTTCCTCTTAAAGTCATATTTTGAGAGATTCCTTAGTGTAAGAGGCATCTCGTTCCAAATTTTTGTTCCAATTCTAGAAAACGAGTTCAATTGAATAGAGAGCCTAGAGCTTTGTGTATAGAGGTTGTGCGAAGCAGAGGATCGGGTATTATAAGGGTGAATATTAGAAATGTCTTGAAACAGGTCTCGAATACTTCTAGGCGCGTGAAAATACTAATTTTCTAATTACTCAATCCGCGGCATGCAGTCACACAATGAAAGATTTCTATAATAGTCAATCAAGAAACAATTTCAAAGTCTCGCCTTTTCCGGTTGGTTTCGTTCCTTGTGTACCGTTCACTGTCTTCTGAAGGTCAGTCAGTTGTGTTCTTATTTCCAGCAGTAGTTTCTTCATCTCCTTGCTGGGTCCTGGGCTAAACGTGTTGTAATTGTACACATTGTGGCAAGAGGTCGACGAGGTAGGTTTACCACCACAGGCAGCTGGGGTAAAGGCAGATAAAACCAGCAGTGTAAAAAGAAAGCGCGAGGTAAAGAGAAACATTATTACCGTGACAAACTGTATCAAAGTGTTTTGTTTACCAGCCTGGCTTTAGCACATTGCTTTTCGCATTACGTGGACAGCCTCTTTAGTAGAACCAGATTTGATTATTTTCTTCGTTTTGCGAGACTTTTCACGTCAGAAACTTGGGAGAATTTCATTGATGATCAGTAGTAACAGGACAGAATGATACACTGCGAATTCAATTTCAGTTGGCCGCAGGCTTAGCCTGAGAAAAGTGAGACTGAAACATAACTAAGGAAACAGTGCCTAGCAAGCACAAATGAATGATCACGACTTTAAATCTCTGGCTGTAGCGCTTTGAGTGTGATTAGTGAATAAAGCAAAATGTGGATTTACGTTATTAACTTCGTTTGTTTTATTGCAACCGAAATCGCATTTTAGGAATTGAATGCCTACCGGCGAGTCTTACTTGCAAGTTTCGTTGAGATTTGGATGGGAAGAATGGAGAAAATTGAATATATTTTAAACCAACACAGCACAGACCCTCTCCTACCGCACACAATGACATGCAAATCTCAACAAAACTTGCTCGCATGTGAGTCCCGAGTCGTCGATTGGCATCCATTCACTGTACTCAAGGAATCAAGTCAGTCTTTGTCATACCCAATGTTAAAAATTTCATACTTCAAGAAAACTACTTATCTTAAATCGATTTAAAAATAAATCAAAATCGTCTCTAAAGTTCTCCTCTGTTCGTTGGTGCATAGCATAGAAGACCAATGTCTCAGCCTGATGGATCGGCACAATCATGGAATTTTTCATTGATGGCAAAATAGCTATAAGAAATTCAAACCGCCTCCGTCATAGAATTTATTTCGGCCACACATCCTTTAGTTTCATCTTAGAGTTTGATAGAGCCAGTGACAAGGTGATCAACATTCATTCGCAAACTTTTCATGTTCTCAAGTTTTTGCTTACAAATACATCCGTCTTTATTTTATTCATAAGGTTCCATGCTTTGTTGCATTTTTAATAATAGATTTGAATAAATCACAGGGGGCCCATACAATCTGTTTGTGTAGCCAACCGTTGTTTTATAGAGAATGTACCAGATTTACCGTTTGCCTCACCTAGAGTGATATATTGCTGACTATGTACATAAATCATTGATAAATAAACGTTGAATTACTATACCTGTGGTGCATAGTCGTCCTTTTGCCTCAAAATATTTTTTTTTTGAGCGATTTTGAATAAGTCTGATTTCGTCGTTAATGTAATGCATTAAAGAAAGACAAGGGTGGAAGCCTTGTTTTGAAAGGGTTCAAGCGCCCGAGCGATTTTGACCCCAAAAATCGCATCGCTCCGCTTTCAAACCTCGCAGCATTAAGGTCAAAAGATGCACGATTCTCCTCGTACTTTCCATCGAAAATCCATCCAAACGGACTGGAGTTAGCCCTCGAAGAAAA